CATAAGAAATAAATATATAATATAATGAATATTACCTCTAAACTATGAGATAGGCCATAATATTTTCTAATCAGTAAAGAGAAACTTTTTGGCGATTTCTAATATTTCTAGTACTTATAGGTACCTAAAATGATTTTGCTGTAATTTGTAATTTCGCCACACTTCGTTAACTAACTTTTGTACATTTTGTACTTTCGTACTTGTATGAGATTTTTAAAACTTTCAAACAATTTTTGGTATAACTTGGATTTGTCTATGTAAAACGATATCTTATTTAAACATTAAACTTTGGCTAATGGAATCAATGGTAACACAAATTAACTTGCTTTACTATGCTTACAATGCGTCTACTCGCTATAGTATCCAAACGAAACAATACACTGATAGAGGAAATTTAGATAAGTGAACAGCGCGATAATTCCCCTACTCGGTTCTCAAGCGAGTAGGAGAATTACCGCGCGCTGTTCACTAAACGTATGCATTATTTGCGGGAATCCCCGAAAATGCGTTTCATTTTCAAGCAAAGACAATGTGAGGGTTGCCATTCGTGTAAAAAAGTAAATAACTACCGATGACGTAATCATCATCTAGACTCCACTACCCCCCATGTTATCCAAAATAAGCAAAGCAAAGTATTCATGATAAATTCTGCCTTTTCTCCCAGATTTTGCATTTTGCAATGTTCATACAGCTATATGGAATTTTGTCAACAATCATGGCATTCTGCGGCCAAAAAAATAATAAATAGGAATACCGATGGACATCCTATATTAATACTTTATATATATACATATGTCGGCGTCAAACGACGAAATTCGTCATTCTCTGAAATGCCTAGTCAGTCCCCGTATTGCCGGCAAACACAGTAACAGTTTCATTATTACAACGTTTGAGTAACCACTTCAGTCATTCTCTGTAAAGACTGAACAATTTTAGTCGAACACCGTAACAACCACATTAACTTCGTTACTGCATTTACCTGATTCAGTCATTCATTGCACCAGTTTTGTGTTCATTTGCTTGAGTATACACATCGTCTTTTCTGTGTTTGTAAACATGTCGCAGCATTCAAAATTATTTTACAAGAAACTAAGTGTGAATACTATGAGAGAGTGAATAAGAACAAACCATGGAATACAAATATGTTAAATGAGGTAAGTCAATTTTTACAATTTCGTGCTCAACAGCAGCATCCATTGTTGCCGTGTTTCGTATATAAATACTAGATTAAAAAAAATATATACATAATTCTTCCACGCTGGAGTTATTTATATCAACAATACACGTCCTCGATGCACGTTTCGCCATCAGTACTGCTGCGAATATGTATAACTCTAGAAAAAATGGAACAAAAAATAATGTTTGAAATAATATAAAATATAAGATAATTCTATGTAACTTTTATTCGCTTGTCACCACCCGCAGTCCTGCATTTTGTTTTTTTTTTTAATGTGTATTATTTTATATTCCTTTCGATAGTTTCAAGATATTTCTTGTTGATTTAATACACTAATGATTAATATCCAAAATAATGTAACAATAAAGATTCTTCTTTTCTTTTAGATTAATGCATGCTTGCTAATTATGCTTTCAATATTATTGATAATGTAGTACCTTGTTATATTATGTACTTCATTGGGGCAACACAGTATTGATTACAGCGTTTGACTAAAATAGGAGAATGCAGTAACGAAGTTACTGTGGTTGTTACGGTGTTTGACTGGAATGACGGATTTCAGCGTTTGACGCCAACATAAATATGTCTATATATATATATACAGGGTGTTCCATAATTATTGCGACAAAATGATAGGTGTTGTTGACGGCATCAAAATGAACAATTTTGCCTTATAAACCCCTGTTCGGAAATATGCCGTTTGGGCTGCAACAAAAAAAAAGATCAGTTTCTTGAAACAGCTTACCTACAGTAATTGCTCAAAGTGTCCTCCACCTTGCTCAATACACAGCTGTGCACGATTGTTCAATGATCGGCGAACTCTGTGGCATACCCCCGGTATGTCCTGAACATGTGCGGACGCGGCCATCACTCTTCCCAGTAGCTCTTGTTGGTTGGGAACAGGAGTTTCGTACACTAAAGCTTTCAGATGGCCCCAGAGAAAATAATCCAGTGGGGTCAGGTCGGGTGACGGCGCAGGCCAAGGCACAGGGTCACCTCGACCTATCCACCTATTTGGAAATTTGTCGTCCAAATACTGCCGCACTTGTAAAGAAAAGTGGGCTGGAGCGCCATCGTGTTGAAACCACATGTTGGCTCTTATGTTCAGTGGCACATTTTCTAATAGTTCCAGTAGCACATGCTGTAAGAATCGACCATAAGCATGCCCATCCAAACGTGGTGGAAGCAAATATGGCCCGATGATATGCTCGTCCACAATGACGCACCAGATGTTGATTGAAAACTGATGTTGGTCTCTGGTCTGGATGGCTATGGCATGAGGGTTTTCTTCATCCCAAATGTGACTGTTACGGCTATTAAAATAACCGTCCTTTGTAAAACAAGACTCGTCAGTGAACAAAACGTAGCGACCAAAGTTTGGTTGCCTCAACTCCATGAATCCTTGCAAAAATGGCGTGATGCGGATGAGGACGTTCTGGAAACCGTTGTGCGTAGATTCGCGAGGCTCGTCTTTCGTTACCACCAGCTTCTTCGTAAATTAAATGCATATCCGCAAGTTCCGCATACGAATAGCGCTGCATTTTAACACTAAGGTACTGTTATTTACTATCTAGTTTGACGCACCATTCATATAAATTAAATGAATCGGTGTGGAGAATTTACGATAACAAAAATGTAAACACAGCAGGCTTTTTTTTTACAAACCGGCGAGACCATGAAATGTGCTAGACGAACATTTTGCAGCTGGTGAATTTTTTGTTTCTCCTATGAGCTCTTAAGGTAAAATTAGCGGTAGTGCTCAAACGGCATATTTACGAACAGGGGTTTATAAGGCAAAATTGCATATTTTTATGCCCTCTACAACCCCTATGATTTTGTCGCAATAATTATGGAACACCCTGTAAATATACGAGCCTCTTCCCACTTCAGTTGGCCCACTTCAAGATTTGTACCAAAATATGCCTTTATAAACTAAACATGACGAAACTATATACTTCTAAAACAATTTATTTTCTCAAAAGCATTTTAGATACACTCTAGTCATAAAAAATACATATTTGAAATCACTTAGACCTATAACTAATAGAACATCTGAAATAAACAATGTGCGAATAAATGCGCGAAGTTAACAAAGGAACAATTGAAAGATTACCATTGGGTAACATCACCTTAATTTTTGATTACTGCTGAAATTCTTTGGGGTATAGTGTTAACCAAATTGTGGCACAAATTTGGTGTAAAACAATCCCATATTTCTTGAAGCTTTTGTCTCAGTTCAGTGATTGTACGAGCAGGATGTTGTCGTAGAACCTTTTTCTTCTCGTGCCACAAAGTTTCAATAGGTGACAGATCTGGATTGCTAGAAACCCATTTTAAAAGTGGTACATTATTTTCTTCCATCCATTTTATACCCTTTTTTGAGGTATGGCATGCTGCACCATCTTGCTGAAACACAAAATCTTGGCCGGATGTCAAACATTCTTCCATCACTGGTAAAAGCGATTCTTCTAAAATTGCCAAATATTTGTTTGTATCCACGTTTCCATCAATAAAATGAAGTTTTCCTACTCCTTTTGATGACATACTGCCCCAGACCATAATGGATGCTGGAAATTTCACTTTTCTCTTCAGTCAGTATATAATAACTCTACTGCGACTGTCACCCACACAAACTTCGAATCGGGCCTCATCACTCTATTGTATTGCACACCATTGTTTAGGTGTCCATTGTCTATGTTCTTTAGCCCATCTAAGCCGATTTTTCTTTTGCAGTGGAGTTAATAGTGGCTTTTCTTTGGCCTATAAACAAGTTGTGCAACTTTAGGGTTTTTACTTCACTTTTGTTTTATAAGAAAACTTACCTTGCAAGTGCTAAATCCCAGTTTGTGGGACTCTATATGAGTTGTGGACCTCGAAATTTTCCTTCCATCAGCATCACTCCACAGAGCACTTAATTGTGAATAATTGGCACGCCTGTTTTTCACGATTATTCTTCTTAATGCTCTTTGGTCGGCATTTGTGATAGTACTTTTTTCCACATATCGTGGCTTAATATTAACTGAACCAGTTACGTTATATCTTCTAACTATATTTCTCACACTGTACCGCGATAAGTCTAACAAAGTTGCAATTTCTGAGTTTAATTTCCCAGAATTAAAAAATGTAATTATCAGTAACCGAATTTTCTCACTAATAACCCTTCCTCTACCCATTTTGAAAACCTCAACTACCAAAAACTATTTTAAACGTATTCTGACAGCTGTGATTAATAAAAACAATTGTCATGGTTTTTATTTTTCACAGCCACCTATGCGTTAAAGACTTATTTTGCATTGAAATGAAAATAGGTTGATATGCTGTAATTGCAACATGTGTTTTCTATTATACATTATCAAAATATTCATTGTTAACATTTTAAACCTATAACACCCTGCTACATTTTTATTATTTGTGTTTGATAAGATTTCAATAGTTGGGCCAACTGAAGTGGGAAGGGGCTAGTATATTATTTTACGTAAACAGTTTTTTGCAATCCTCGAGATCTACACTATTTCTGTCAATTTTCTGAAACTCTAAAACTGTATGGAAACCCTCGTACTTTTATAGGTTTTCTTAGAAATAATCAAATTTAATGCAGTGTCAACAGCTGTCAAACTGTGCATGATCCACTTTTAGGATTCGCTGGCATCCTGTCTGCTCACCAGAGTACGATGGATCCCTTGTTTTGCTTTTTTTACCTAGTCTAAATGTGCGTTCGTAGATTTGGGTGTGATAATGACTGTTCCAAAAAAGGGAAGTCTTTGTGTTTGAGTTTGGACTTACTTACAGTTGATTGCCGTGATTCAAAAAGCTTACAGCTACGATGGAGATAAGAAGTGTGCTACTCTACTGCATCTTCTTGAGTGCTAATTATGCAGCTATTGCTCTGAATATCGACAACTTCAGGCTGAATGCGACTATAAGTGACTTAATAACCCATTCCCTGAGCAGTTGTATCGCTGGTAACCCAAAGCAGCTCCAACTTGGAAGCAACATTTTGTTCTCTGAATTCATAACAAGAGAGGATGAGAGCATATACATTGTTGACTTTTTTCTCAAAGCTTTGGGATCCCAACGTAAGTTGATTCATAACAATATTTTGAGCGAAGCTGGTAAGAGATATGAAAATTTTGCCGGCAGCTTTCCAGATACTTTGATTGTACATATCGCACATGCAGAAGATTTGACCTATAACGCTATATTTTTTCATCCATTTGACACCAGCAATCCAACTGTCATTGTGATATGTACTGATGCATCTTCAAAACCAAATAGACTAGCAAGACATATTTTTAATGTGACTTTGGCGAGACGTTTGTTAAATACTATAATTTTGCTTCCGGAATATCACAACATTCAATATATACAGCTGGTCATCAAAAAAAGGGCGTTGCTTAAAGTCTATAAAGGTGCACAAAGTGAATAGTTGCAGCTTTGGCAATATGGCAACAAGTGAGAAGATTATCAGTACAAGAAGGATGTTTAACAAATGTACCTTGAATGTGGGCTATAAGATATCTCCTCCTCATGTTATTGAGGTAAATCAAACACTTACAGGAATCGAAGTTGACCTTTTAAGCTTACTAAGTGAGAAACTTGGATTCCAACTTAATTTCATCGATAGCGTGACGTTTTGTGACGCAGGAGGAAATCATGCAAAAGTTTTGATGAACAAATTGGAGAGCCAGGAAATAGATTTCGCGATTGGAGGTTTAATAAGGACAGAAACTAGATGCATTCCTTTTGACTGTAGTCACACAATGAATATGAAATGTCAACTTGTTTGGTGTGTACCTCGTGTACCAGACCGAATGGGAAGTATTTTGGCAGGTTACATCTGGAACGATGTTTGGATCTATGTCTTGATGTTATATTTATCTCTGACCATCTGCACTTGGTTTGTTAGCCGTTCCCAAGACAGTTACTTCAAGTATTTGCTTAATATAATGTTCGCTTACTTTGCAGCAATATTCATGGTTGCTCAAAATCGACAACCAAAGACATGGTATGGCAGATACTTCTTTAGTTTAATTTTATTGTTGGGAATGTACATGGGCATTATTCTTGGTGACGTAGTTACAAGCATACTAACCAGCCTATACAAAACCGAAAGGTACAACACTCTAGATGATATATACAAGTATGATTTACCTACACATTTCGCTTTCCACTTTTTACGTTATAAGAAAAATGAGAGTGATGAACAATATTTGTTTGGGGTACCTATTAAAACGATGAAAAGAAAATGGATATATTCAAAAGACGTAACAGAAGCATTATCGAATGTCACAAAAAATCATATTTCGTTTTGCTTATCTGACACCCAATTGAGCTATTGTATGACGAATGACGAGAAAGTGAGAAGCATTAGAAGCAAAATAAAGTGTATCAAAAACCCCAATGAACCGAGTGCTGACGTGATAATATGGATGAGAAAACAATTCCTTCAGTCTGAAGCGTTTGTTAAGAATCTAAAGAGAATCATAGACGCGGGGTTTATAGAAAAATGGACGAATTACTTGTATCTGCAGGATATCAGTCAACGATCAGTTGTCAGAGAGGAAGCTATAAAGGATGCAGAAATAAAATTTGAAGAAATTAAGACGATATTTGTTCTACTGCTTGTCGGACATGCCTTAGCTGCTTCCGTACTTATACTGGAACTATGGTATTCGAAGAGATCCAGGAAATATTGATGACGTTACAATAAAGCAAGAGATGTTACAATAGTTCTTCAAAGGGATGCTTGCCGCACACTTGCAATGTATTAAAGCACCATTTATTGTTTTGGAGTTGTATTTTAGCAATAAATATATGTATAGCAGTTGTATCCAGGAATTGAAACTTATACGGAGAAGGGGAGTAACACATCGACTTTACTGAGGGAACAAATGTGCATATGACACGCTCACATTCTGGCCCCCTCCATCTGATGGTAACTTATTGTTGAGCTTAAACAGGTTGGTCACTGCTAATTTTAAGCAGAAAGGACGCGATCAAAGTCGTAAATGCTGAAGCTGCTGTGTTGATGTTTGATTCTCATTAGACGTGGGAAGTAAAAGTATATTAACATTGACACTTTGTCTTTCTACAAGATACCATATTTAGAAGTCCCATACGCCGTTTCTTGTCCGCAATCATCAAGTTTATTTTTTTCTTTAGACGCCATATTCAAGGGAGTACCCAGCTCAAACCGGAAGGGGGCCACCTTAAAAAAAATTCCACAAATCATATCTACGCTTGATATTTTTCTTTCTATTTGCATTTCATCATACTTTTCGAAACGTTTAAGCAATTTAGTCGATTGCATTACTTAAAGGCAACACTTGATGTGATAATTGACAAGTGTTTGCAAATTTTATATACCTGTTTTTTGGGCGTACGTATCCCTCGAAATTCAAACAGAGTGCTCATTTTTTCAGTAGGCCAGGTACATACTGTAAACGCGGAAAAACTTCAAATGGAAGAATCACTGACTGACATACATAATAGGTACATTTTTTCTCGCTTTCATCAGGTACTCCTTTGCCCTCTGTTACAGACAGAAAAATATTTCTAGTTTTTTTAATCGGCAGGATTGAAGGATTCAAAGATTGTGAAATCCGGAAAAAAATTCACTCTAAACGCAACACGAGGTATGCAATTCGAAAATATGTGGAGTGGAATCTGCGTTGAAAAATCAGGAAGCTGCTGGTGCAATGTTATCTAGAAACGCCATAAAACTTATTTGGTCAGGCTAACTAGCCAAATGTGAACGCTGTTGTAAAAGAAATTTTACAGAAGGATTTCAATATTTAGAGTGACTGCAAAGGCCCCTCATTTCCAAATAAATTCTGGATAACTCTTTCATTAAACTTTAAAGAATAACTGGGAATAGAATACAAGTGCCGGTAAAATGAGAACTAATGGGTATGTCCAGTTCGTTGCAACGGTTAATTGGTTATTGCAAAAATTCGTTCATTTTTTTGTGGAGAACCCTGTACATGAAAAGTATAATTTTTGTAAAAAATGTACTCTCCATTGAATTTTTGCGGACCTAGGGAAAAGCCACCCTTAGGTACGCCCTTGGCCATATTATAGTTTTGCACAGTTGGATAGAGTTTTTGATGGTGATTAGAAAAATGTATAATACAGTGACGTAAACATCCTATATTTAACATATTGAAACTCTAATTGTGCTATTTTGAAGAGAAGAAAAAGTGGCAGAATACTTTTTATTTTAAAATCAATTCTCAAAAAAATAAAAACGATTTTGCAACAATTTCTTTTCTCCGGAAGTACTCGCAACTGATAATTTTTCTATGTACCATTTCCTTAGCTACCTAAAAATGAGCAAATTTCTCCAAATTTAACCGACTTTGTATCTTTCGTTTCCGACATCCCAATAGTGAGTGTTGAATTTGAAACGCTCGATATATGTGCCTGGATCACTAGAGATTTGGGAGCTCTCTGGCGCCAACTTAAGCTATTTTTTTGGGGTTTTGTTACATATAACAAAAGACCAACAGGTCCTAACTTGGTGATGAATGTTCAAATTATATCCCTTCCTCTGAATGGCGCCACCACTCCATACACAACCAGGTTAAATCGAAATTTGGATCTTTCAGTCAAGTATAAGGGCCTTGTGTCTGTCCATTGAAAGCATTGAGTACCTGCTGAGGTTTTCGTGCGCGATGCCACTTTGCCGACTATTTCAAGTGGTACCCCGTGGCGCCATTTTACCACAAAGACGTTGTGGTGTGTTTAAGCCAGCCATACATGTTGAAGTTTTCTTGTGATGTTTACCTGAACAGATGAGGTGTATGTGGCATAACCCATCAGGGCTTAACATAAATGCTGAGTTTCTTAACTAAAAAAAAAACCGGTCACGTAGCTAAATAGCGTCGCTTAGACTACTGACTTTAAAGCTGCACGCCCGTTTTTTCTATAAAGCTGAATAAACCGGTCTCAGAAGAATTCCGAGCATTCTTATCCATGACGCTGAAATCTCCAGTTACTTAGACTTAAGACGGTCTTCTTCAATCTGAATCAATATTTTATATAAGCTCCAGCTTCGCTTATTGCTAGCCTTCCAACCAAGGATAAACATTGATAAGCCTGAAATACTCTTTTGGGCCTTATTAGGTAAGGTTTGATCTTTAATTTAAACACTTTAGAATGCACCCAGGTATATGACTTTTCCGCTCCGGAAAAAGTTTGTCTTAGAATTTTCGGACCATTTTGAACAGAAAGGGTCCTTGGTAACTGTTCTCTGAGCCCCGTATCGTCAGTCGTTCCTACAATTGTAGGACACCTTTATTGGCTCCTTGACGGTCATAGACTTTTTCTCTCCTTCAGAAAGGCTGGAGCATTTCTAGATTTTACCTGTTCCGTGTCAGCGTCAGCGCTCTCCTATTGTGAAGTTATTTTTTCTTTTTAAATTGTAGGAAATTCCAGGCAAAAGCATGAACAGCTGGATGCAAATAGATATTTATGACATAACCTCAAAATAGAAAGCTGACAAGGAACAGTAAAAAACTAGGAAAATCAAGGATGCCATAACGACGTCCTACAATTGTAGAAACGACTGACGATACGGCTCTAAAGTTGACCTTCTTCTAGGTAAAGGCGATTCAATGTCTAAAACGCCGTAAAAATGGGGTTCTTCAATTCTTGAAAAACCGATCAAAAATTATTTTGTTTTGGATAGCTGGCTTTCTAAAAGCTTACAAGAGTGCGAAGAGTATTTTAGGTTTAGTTTTTCTAAACCTTGGTTGGTAGGTTAACAAGAGGCGAAGTTTTTTAGCACGCACTTTAACGATCGCATTCGCTAAAATAAGAATACTAGATCTAATAACTAATGTATCTGTTTTGTGAACGCCATGTTTTTGGTTTGTCCAGCATATCTAACTCTAATTTATCAGCGCCTTGTCTAACTGCCTTGCTTTGGCTGTCTAAATAGACAAACCCGTAAGGTATACTAGCTTGTATGGCTGGCTTTATTCACCAGTGTCTTTCCATAGTCGACTTGATTTGCCTGATTTCTTTACTGGATAAATAAAACAAACTATTAAGTTACACTTTGCTTTATTAGGTAGCTTATACGACATTTTTACTACCCAATTCTTTTGGCGAGGAAGTATTGTAATCGGAAAACATTTCTAAAATGAGATAATAAATATGTTTGTTCACTCATATCCGTCGGTCTGTCCGCGAGTGAGACACGGGGTCAAGGACGATGCAACGGCGATTGTCATACGACAACCTGTCTTGCGTCTGACAGCATTGATGACAGGGTGCAAGGATGTTATATAGTCGTGGCTGGCGTTTATGACAGATTTGACAGATCTGGTCCAGCAGCGTTGCCAGATGGACGATACTTAGGGCAGGGAAAAAACGAGCATTAGCATTGTCAAATGGATGGGGACTATGAAGTATGTACTAATCATATATGGGCATGTTTGGCTGACTTTATTATACAGGTTTGTAGCTAGCTCAAAGGAGCTTGGGCCGAACATAATCGTTTATGAACTGATGACAGCGTTGCGTGGGAAGTGCCGGGTCAACGTACTCGACGCCATTTTTTATTACATCCTTATTTATTGGATTCATGATTTAGTAAACTCTTCTGAATGCCCATGCAAGGAACAAGGCATACTATATGGTGAATATACATATAAAAATCTTTTATCTTTATAAAATACTCTAGAATACGACCAGTATCGTAAAACTAAGAATGTATCCGTGAAAATGTAAATAGCTTTAATGGGTATTATATCAGTATCAAATACGTCATAAACTTTACAATAGAATAAAAAAATCTCACCAAAATGTTTCAGATGGTGTTGGGAATCTACAATTCAGTAAATATTGGGATGATATAATTTAAAGACCGGTTTTGCTGTGAGTTCGTGATATAATTTTAACGGCGTCAACCGGCAATTGACAAAATAACGACGCAAGCGACTCACCGCAGCCTCAGGGTTCTTGAGTTCGAGGGGTTTTCGTGTGGGTAGAGGGAATTTTCCATGGCATGGCAATAACTACTACACTATAAGAATTGGCCTTCCAATAGACTAACAAAATCAAGTAACCATACAAGGTCTGTGAATTAAGAGATGAGGCTAATATTTTTAATTTTTTAAATAAAATTATAGTTTTATATCGTAACCCTCACTTCCTTCTAAAGCTACACAGCGCTGAAGACGGTTGTTCAACGACTCAAGTCAGGCGAATAAGGAGGCTGAGGAGCCGCAGGATGTTTTTACTGGGCAAAGACTCGTTGACATTGCTATGTGACAAGAGGCATTATCGTGATGCAAAAACCACTTTTTTGCGGGGAGGTGAAGATCTTCAAAAGATGCCAACTGCGGCGAGCGCCGCCCCGTGTTGGATTCACCTCGCTGCCTCTACCCTACCTCTACATTCCGAAACCGCTCGCACTTTACTTCAATACGCAGGGTGTCACAGTTTTGTATAACATCGTAAACGTATACTTGCTCCCATGATTTCTGATTGCCTACTAGGTCCTCTGATACGTTTTTAATATCAAATATTTTACTGCAGTTCTGAGCATAACGTATCCTCATGCTTGACCACCTTGGACAATAAAAGAGCGTATGTTGGCTATCATCCTCATCACCACAGTATAAACAATCGCTTGACTGGGATCTTCTTCTCTGAAAAAGGTACTTACTTTAGTAACCATGAAGAGAAA